TTATCTATTGGGTCGGTGCATAGGTCCGTGTCGTTCTTCATTGGGCTGGCACACCTGCATTGTGAAGCCTTTGTTTTTCGTTATTCAACTGGTTTTCTTCTGTTTGGAGTTTGATTATTCTGAATGGGAGCTTGTTTGTTGTTAACAGCTCGTTTTGGCCGTTTTCAAGACTAATAATAATTTACCCGTCAAAAATTTTCGCACGGTCGTACATGTTACCCACGGGCAGAGGAAAGCTGAATTTAAATTTTCTGGGTAGCACATGGGTGGGGGACATGCCCACAAAATTTCAGCCTTCTAGCTTCTGTGGTTCCCGTGATAATAATTTTACCCGCCCAAACTTTTACGGGGCCGTACGTGTTAAGCGTGGTTACGGGGAGGCTGAATTTAAGTTTGCGGGGTCGCGCGTAGGTGGGGAACGGTCCCCTAAATTTTCAGCTTCCTAGCTTTTATGGTTCCCGAGTTGAAAGTTGCAGACAATCTGCTGCGGACACACACATACACACACAACCCCGTGACAATATGTGTTTTGTACTGCTGCTACACAACATAAAACGCATAAAAATGGGTATGGGATGAGTTAACCCTTAGGAATCTTCAACAACACCAAATTCTGAATCCACAACAAAATCAATTTTTCTCCTCATTGGATTGCAAAAGATATACCTCATCGAGATAGGAAGCGCATTTCTCATTCAATAGCTCATCGCTGCTTTGTATTTTTCGTTCGATTACACCAGCAGCTAGCATACATGCTAAACTTATAGGCGAAAGCTTGCTGCTGTTATTCGAGGACGAGGTATCGCTTTCCAGAGCTACATTTTCCAGTAGCGAATCGTCGCGAAGTGACACATTTGGTGGCATACACTTCTCATCTTCGCAATAATCGTCTATCAAATGAGCAGCAGTATCAGCCTCTTTAGCCTTGAAATAAAACATAACGTTTGAAAGATTATTCCAATCCGGGTACCACCACTGCACACATACAGGCTTGCTTATTTAGGAGATCTAAATGGCACTAATTCCAGTGCGTTTTCATTAATTATCAAAATTCGATTGTCTTCCTCTCCACGGTGGGTGGGCCAGCAACGTCAAACAAACTGTACTGATGATTCCCACCCCATTCCGCACCGACTCTGCCGTCTGTGTTTACAGTTTAGGAATGAAACATAGACCGGACAACAGCTAATGCTGCCTTGGCCTTAGTGTAGGGATTTTCGTAAAATAAGGAGTGGGGCTGTATGGGGCGCATGTAGTTTGCTAGAAGTGTCATGTTTTGTTGTGTTTCTTATGGTTTAATAACCCAAATTTGAGGTTACTTACAGGCTCGCTTATCTGGGTATCTGAATTAGCGCTGATTGCTTTCCCATAGCTAACAATATTCGACTGTGTCTCTTTCATCGGCTGGCTTACAGCGCCAAACAAATATCCACAGTTTACATTTTTCAAAAATTTCCAATACACTGCATATGTTAATCCACATAGACGATTTCAGGCGCCCGTCCTCTTCCAGCAGCTCCTAGCCAGGGATATTCATTGTCTATATCTTCAAAAATTTCTACAACATTCAGATCATGCTCTCAAAATCTCCAGTCTGCGCCTATTGCATGATGTATTTGGCACTCTGCCAAGTTATGTCATCTAAAAGACTAAAAGTTGTCGATATGAATTATTCGGCAGTGAGAAAATGAATCGCTGCGGCACTCGTTTCAATGATTATTGGTGCTGGCGTATTCCAAGAAGTCCAAAAAAAAGCAATCGAACGGCTCTTAAAGAAGCCCTTGAAGAAAAGCGCCATGCCTTAGCCTACCAAAAAATGAGGTATAAAATGAGGTATAATGAGGGACTGATCAATACTATCCGAACAGAAATAGCTTACAACTTTTTAAAATACTACTAAAATTGTCCCAAAAAAAACTTTTGGCCATTTCTTGGCAATGAATA